GTTCAGACCCACATTGTTCAAAGGCCAACTGTAGACTTATTAGTGTATTTATTTACTGTCTGTCTCCTCCACATTGAAATGTAAACTCCAAGAAAGCAAGGGTTTCTGTCCGTTTTGCTCACTGCTGCTGCTTAGAACTCCAAAGCCTGCCTGGGAACACAGTAGGCATTAAATAACCTTTCATTTTGTCATTTAGAAGCTAAAATAAAAGAAAGCAATTCCCTGGTGAATAAATGCCTGTGGTACTGATTTTATGCAATCTTCTAAGAGGCAGAGGAAAATTCATCACTACTGTGGGCAGGAAGTGGGTCTCCCCTGAAGGTTGGAACACGTCCACAGTCAACACCTGGTAGGAGGCCTGTCCTGGAAGAGAAATGCTGACTGGAAAGGCAGTCTTTGTGCCAACACGGGACAGAGAGTCCCATTCCCTGGGGCCAGCACTCACAAGAGTTTGGGTTGTGCCAGAAGACACTACTAACATGAGGCAGGAACATCAATTATTTAGCCACTTCGTGTGAAAATCTTAGTGGAATAGATCCCATTACCTTGATAATAAATTCTAGCCTTCTTAGTATACAACTTAGTTTAAAACAGTGTTCTGATGAAGCCTTATTGCCAATTATTATTTGATTTGCCTAGGTCGCGCCTATAAGGAAGAAATGGTACCTGCCCTATCCTGCTACCTGTTCCATCATTCTCATAACCTATTTCTCAAAAAAAAATAAAAGCCTTCTGCCATGAGCTCCCACAGCTTCCCACCTCCAACCTACAAAAATACATTCACCTATACCCATCTTTTCCTCTTCCCTCTTTCTAATAGAAGATATGTCCAACATCCCATGTTCTGATTCACATCTGTTTTCAAGTCTTCAGAAATAACACTCAGTCAGTCACCTCACTTTTGAATCTTTAACACTTTCTGTTTTCCTAGCTCCTTGCTTGCAAAATTAAAATTTGCTTCAGTCTTTCCCATGTTTATAAAAAAAATAATAATAATGTATCTTGACCCCTCCTCATTCAGCTGCTGAGTACCTCCCTCCTTCTTTAAAAACCAACTGTTGTTGTCTCTACTTCTCTACCATGCACTCAGTCCTTGAGCCACGCATTCTGGCTCTCTGCACCCCCAAACCTGTAACTGCTCTTGCCAAGGTCAGGGGCATTCTTGTTACTACATCCAATGAACACTTTCCGTCTCTTTCTCACTTGAATTCTTGGCAGTTTTTAACATTGTTCATCGCTCCTTGGAACACACTCTTCTCTTGGCTTCTTGGCTCAGTGGCTCCATGGATTCTCCCTCCTTATGCTATCACTTTCCTCATTCTCCTTAGTGCAACTGTCCCCCGCTGCCTGTCTCCTTGAATGTTAGGGTCCCCCAGTGTCCTGTCTGGTGCTCTCCTGCCATATTCTACATACTCTACCTGGGCAATTCCATCACTTTCAAGGTGCCTGTGACTAGCCAAAGATGCTGATGACTTTCATAGGTATTTCTCTAACCTACGTCTCCCCCTGCCGAGACACCATAGTCCTCAGCCTACTTATCAGCCTCGGCTTTTAGAGCTCAGGAACTTGGTTTACCAGCACTTTCAGAGTGGCTTTTAATTGTCACATAGTCAAGACGTCAAAGATATTAGGAGCTGTTTTTATTGCATTGATATTATTGGTGGTATTGTTAGCATATTCATCATGAATACTTAAGTAAAATTCTTAAGTAACATTTTTTAAATGTGTGAGTGATTTTTAAAACAATAAAGCCATTCTGAAAGGGGGAAGATGAAAAGCAAAATGGCTTATTATGCCCTATTGCAATAATTTACAACAATGGTACAAGGTTCCGTTTCTCAGTCCTATTTGGGAGGGAAGACTGTATACAATGGCACACCTTCAGGGTATGTATGTTTCTGAGCTTCAACTCAAACTTAGAATACGCCTGAGAATCAAAGTCAATAAAATGTAACTCCAAAGTGATTGAACCGTCTTTGTTCATCTTACCTCCTCTTAAGGTGGGTCTCAACTCTGACTTTCCTTATAACCCACTCACTGGAGAAAGCATGTCCACTTTAATGATGGAGGAAGCAACCATCTCGTGTATCAGAAAGGAAACCTTCCCTTTAAAGTTTTTCCTCTCAATCTTCCTCTCTCCTCAGCAGCTGACTTTTCTCTCTAATATTGTCCTCACCAGCCTCTCTTCCCATAGCCCCTGGTCGTGCATTCTTGCCCTTGCAAAATCTTAGTAGACAGTTTAACATGCATATAACTTTGTTGATAGAGTTCTGCTTTGTCCTGCTTTGCACATAAATATTGCTACCTACATTACTTCACTCTCAGACTAGGTAAGCTCTGTCTGAGTGCTCTGCCCATCAAGCTCCATATTTTGAGTGAGTTCTTCGGCTGCAGTTATCAGCCCCCACCCCTGATCTCTTGAACTAATCTCTATCTCCCTGGGTATCATTTCCAGGGAAACAACTACAAGCAGCTGCAGCAATTGCTCTAATTAAACTGTGAAGTCCCTTAGTGTCTTCTTTCCCACCCTCTTCAGTGCTTGGTGATTTGGGTGTGGGTTCATACTTCCTGCCCTGCTGCCCTACGTGCATACAGAAGTATTAAGAGCAACATGGCTCTGGCCCTACATTTCCTGCCGTCGAACTCTGCACTCATCATTACTAGCTGCCTTCTCTTACGTGGATTACCAAGCCTCTCTATGCCACAATTTCCTAGTCTGCAGTGTTGGGGAAATAGTAGTATATTCCTCCCAAGGTTACTGTTAAAGTTAAATGAGATAAACCAAATAGAGCACTTACAATGCTTACTGGCTCATAGCCAGCCCTCAATGAGTGTAAGTTATTATTATTTCTGTCCTACCATACTCTGATTTTTCATAACATGTTATTCTTGAAACCATTGCATAAACAACACATATAATTTCTTTTGCCCACAGTATACACACACTCAACATTATTCCATCATAATACCTAATAAATTACAAAAGAAAGTATTTGACAACATGTCAAAGCCTTTAGATAAAGGAACACATTTAATAATCTGTGCTTTAAAATGATGCATCCATGCAATGCTCTTGAAGCAGCTGGATTCAATTCTTCGTAGCAGAACCAACTTGACCTTGGGCATGTAGAGTCCAGCCCCTAACAATGTACGCAGCACTTTTAAGTACCTGAGAGCTCCATTAACCACCCCAAAACTGTGAGGTGACCTGATTACCCCAATGCAGATGCAGACACTGAGGCCTACAGAAGTTAGGAAATTTGCAGAAGAGACAATAGTAGGACAGAATAGGATTGGAACCCAGATCTTCTGACCCAATGTCTTCTGGTTCCCAAATGGTTTTGCTACTTGACTATGTACCTAGTTCAGTAACTAAAATAGGTAATTATATCAAGAACAGTCTTGTTAATCATTCAGCAATTATTAAGCAACCCTTAGGTGTGGCAAATGAGATCAAAGCTAAAGAAAAATACATCTTTGCCCTTTAAGAAATTAGTTTGTAAAGAAGACGCAGCTGTGAGCAGGAAAAGTACTCAGGAACTCTTACAGAGCAGCACACAGTCTCTTATGAATTGTGAGCTGCATACCACTTCACACTTTAAGGTCTCAAATCAATTGACTGCCATAGTTTACTTGGTAGCATTTGTTTTCTTTCTTGGTGGCACATAAAATACCATGTCTCTTATAATCACTGGTATCTTCGAGTTCAGAAAATATAAAATAATTAAATGGCCATTTACTTTGTAGCGATCCATAAATATTTGTCAAAAGTAAACCATGTTTATACCCAGTTAATAAAGTTAATATCTGTTACTACAAAACTAGAGGTCATCAGTAGCACCATGATTGATCCCCACTGCCTGGCTCAGGTTCAGTGTGCCCCTCTCAAGATGCAGACTCAGGGGGAAATGCCTCCGTGTTGGTTCAGAGCTGCCTGCGCAAAGAATAAACAAAATAGCACAAGTTCCCACAGAAGGACCACCCAGTGTTCCCGGAGACACAGTGAAAGTTGTACTTTCAGAGATGTCAGATTGCAAGTGGTGAATCAGAGGGGGATTTCCTGATGGAAGCATCAGTGTGGCACAGGGTCAGGAACATTCTGAGGGTATATGCTGATCTGTGACAGGTCGGGGTGCCAGAGTGCAATAAAAGCGTCCTGGACATTGACACCACAGTGGGATTCAAATCCTGGCCAAGCCACACACTGGTTTTTGACCCTGGGAAAGTCAATTACTTTGAGCCTCGAGTTCCTCCCTAGTAAAATATTTATGTTTAGTTATGTGAGGAGTAGATATAATATTTGCGAAACGCTTGGCAGGGAGAGCAGACACTCAATAAATGGTAATAAAATTGGTTAGAAGGTTCTGGGGGTAAAAGGAGTGAATGAGCAAAGCCGTGCTTTGGAAAATTACTGTGGAATCTGTGATTAAAATAGACTGGAGGAAAGAAACTGGTGAAGAGAGACTTCAGATGCTTTTTCAATGGTGCAGAAGGGAACGGATGGCAAACTAAGGGTATCTGTCGGTCGGGATGCGTCTCAGCTGTCTCCAAGAGCACGGGAGGGAAGGGAGGCAAGACTGAGAACCTGGACGGCGCAGTACCGGCGGGGAACCGGGCCTTAGGGTGAAGGCCCGGAAAAGCACGCGAGGAACCAGGGGGTCCAAGGGTGGCGCCCAGGAACCTGAGAGCAGCCACGGCGCTGGACAGAAATGGGGGAGGGGGTGCTTTGAAGATTACCGCCGCTGCCTAAATCTTTTCCAGGGTACAACCACTTTGCGTGCACCCCGCGAACCGGTCAGACTCAGCACAGGAGGAGGGGCGGGCGGAGAGCGACAGGCCGCCCGGGGTCCGCAGACCAGCTCCTCCTCCAGAGCCCGGAGGACAGCCCCGCGGAGGCGGAGCGCGGCCCTTCCCGCCTCTTCCCCGGCGGAGGGCGCCCCGCCCGGGCCCGCCCACCCAGCGCCGTTCCGCGGGGCGGAGCCCGAGGCGCCCCACCCTCGCCCCCTTTCGCGCCGCCGGTACTAGTTCGCCCCGGTCGCTCCCGGTCGCCCAGCTGCCCCTGGTACCCCGCGTCCGCTGGTGTGTCTGGAGCGCCGCGGCCACACAATGTTGGGCATGATCAGGAACTCGCTGTTCGGGAGCGTAGAGACGTGGCCTTGGCAGGTCCTGAGCAAAGGGGACAAGGTAGGCCCGCAGGGCTGCCGAGGACCTGCAGGCGCTCTGCGCCCCCACCGCACCCTGATCCGGGCTGGAGCGGGTTCTGAGGGGCAGGTGGGACAGGAATGTGTCCCAGATTGTGCACTATGGTTTCTTCCATGGGCATGGCCCTCCACTGCCAGCCCTTGGACTGAAGGGCTAAGAGCTCCGCTGGGAGGAGGGGACACAAACAGGCGAGGTTGATTGGTGGGGAGAATCCCAGCTTGGCGAGACGGACAGCACCTGTTGAATGCATTCGTTCATTACATTCTGAACATTTGTTTGCTGCGAAACCCTCGTCTGCAGAGAGGACTGAAAAGTAATGTCCTTTAAAAAAGTCCCAACTGCTGCTGAGGATGAGCCTTTGCAGAGGAAGTGTCTTCAGCTGGGCCTCAGGGTTGTGCAGGAATGCACAGAAAAAAAGCAAATGCAAAGGCCTAGTAAAACGACTGTTGGCCAATAGGACTCCCAGAATTGGGTGCCTAGAATACAGGATGAGTGAGTAGTGCATAATTGTTGTGTTCCTGAGATTGACATCACTGCTAACACAGGCAAATTGGACTGCCCCCTCAAAACAAGGAGCCTGCCCCTGGATTATGATGTCCTTGCAAACAGCTACTTTGTGCACTTGGTGGCTATATATATGCAGTTTCCAACTCACTGCCTCATTTGTTAAAGGACCGTGTTGTCCAGGGACAAAGTTCTGGTACTTAGTACAGTGATCATCACACAAAAGCCCTCAAGTGGACTCTGGATTCTTCAAGCAACTATAGCCAGAGGTCTGTCACTTCATCTGCCTGTATTTCAGTTTCTGCAGCTCTAGGATGAGCAGTTTAGCCCTGAACAAGGGTAACATTCAAACACCTACAAGCAGCCAGGCAGGTAATGGAAATGAGTGAAGCTGGCTGTTTTAGGCTACAAGGCAAGGTGGGGACTGCAGCAAATCAGAGAAAGAACTCAGGTGTTCACATACAAGGCAGCTCCAGGCAGTTGTTGCCATGCAGTGATGTGAACCAGGGCTACCAGATTGTTTAAGGAAAACTAGCCATCCAGATTCTTTGTGTGAAATCTCTCAATTTAAAATTAACTCCTTCAGCCAATAACTATTTGTTGAGTGCCAACCAGGCACTCTTATGGGCAATGAGGATAAAGCAGTGAACAAGACGAACATAATTCATGTCCTCATGGAACTTACACTTTACTGGCTAATGAACAAGTAAGCCACATGTATCAGCTGGTCATCGATGCTGGGAAGAAAAGCAGAGAGGGGGAGGAAGGAATAGGGAGTGTTGAGATTGAGGCTGTGGTTTTGAATAGGGCATTTATGTCCATTTTAACTGTTGGCAACTGACAGCAAATGTTTGTAAACACTGCAAGCCGGAGGATCTGTCTGGCTGGATCCTGCCTGAGCAATGCCAGTCCGTGGCCTCAGCCTAGTGATCTCTAGGGTCCATGTTGGCCCTAACACTTTAAGAATCCACGTTACCAAAAACTCTCAGAGAGCTTTTCTTTCTATAGTGGAATCTGACTCACTTGGTCTTTTTAGGTTAACAGACAATGCGAATGCGGGCTAGTGGTCTGGACTGGTCTGCTGCCTGCTTGCCCTCAGATCCCTTCTTCACCCATTTCCTGCTGGGGCTCTGTCTCCCCACATGGAGTCGGGGCTGACCCCTGTGGGCTGTTTCCCAGGCTGTATTGTCAGCTGGCTCCCAGCGAGGTTTGCCCAGTGGGAGGCACTAGTGGGAGATAAGAGGGCCAGAGGAAGGGAGAAGCCAGGGTATTTCTCCCTCTCCTTCACCCTGCTATGTTTCTGGCACAAGGAGCTTCTCTGTGACTCTTGCTAGACAAGCTACCATGCTTCTAGCTTCCACCAAGTGATTCAGATATCTGAGCTCAGGTAACAGATAATTTTCCCTCTAACTCTAGTATGGTGCTTGCTAACTTCTGGGTTGCCTCGCTGTCCCGTTAGGTGTCTCAGCCCTTTTATTATCTGTGAAATCAGTTCCTTGAATTAAGGTGCCTCTGTTCAAAATACTCTAATAGTTTCTGTTTCCTAATAGACCTTTATTGATAGTGTCACCTGCCACCGAATTGATGCCTCTGGGGATAAATGCAGCTCCCTGATAAGCCTTCCCTCAACATTTGATGGGTATATGGGACAGTGTTACCAAGACTGAAGCAAATCATTTAACCTGAATGAAACCCAGTTTCTGTAGCTGTGGAATCGGTATAAAAATACCCTTCCCATCTAATTCCAGAGTTGCTATAAATATTAAATTTTTTAAAAACATGAAAATGTTTTACAAACTAATATACCCTACAGAGGCAGTAATATCATTATGTCAGAATTCATTTCAGCTTCCCTCTTACTAGCTGTATGGTCATGGGCAACTTTCTTAACCTCTCTGAAGCTAATCATGAGAGAAAATAATAAGTAGTCATATCTCATAAGGTTGTTTTGAAGTTTAAATGAGATAACCAATTATAAGTAGTTAAATAGAATATCTAACACTTGGTGGGGGTGGTAATGCTTAGTTTTCTCTTAATTTTACAGGTAATTTTACAGGTAAGTTACTTAACCTCTCAACCACTCTGAACCCTGAAATTCCTCAATTTGGAGAATGACAATACCTGTGTAACAATTAATTAAATATTCAGATACTTGTAAACCTGGCATGTGTGTATGTGTGTATGAAAATTCTGAGTGTTATTTTGAAGAGAGCCTCTCCCTGAAATTATCTTTTACCCTGGAAAGAGTCTGAGTGAGAAACTGTTGGCTCTCCTGGGCACATGAGTGGCACATGGTGTGCTCTGTGTAACTGGGGTTTGGGCTCACCAGATGTTCAGGACTGATTCTAGGCACCCAGAGGGAGGCCCAGGCTGCTGTAAACCTTATCATGTGCCTTCTGCATTGCTTGAGGAGGGAGGAGGACACATAGTCTCTGTGTTGGGTTGGGCAGGTCTTGTGGATGCTCAGGGCAGGACTGATAGAATAACTGACATCTTTATGGGTGTGTGTCCAGCCTGTGCATACTGGTTGGGACCCGACTGCCTGGGTTCGAATCCTGGCTCCACTGCTTGCCTTCTGTAACTTGGGCACGTTACTCCCTTAATCTCTTTTGCTCCTGTTTCATCTGAAAATTAAGATAAAAACACTAACTTCTTCACAGCATTGCTGGAATGGATTGAATGAATGAATCCATGTAAAAAGTTTAAAATAATACCTGACACATAGAAAGTACTCAGATTGTTGAAGATGATGATGATTAATATTTTAATCCTCACCTGACGACACTTTTCTATTGATTTTCGGGTAGAGTGGGAGGGAGGGACAGAGAGAGAGAAACATTGATGTGAGAAAGACACACTGATTGGTTGCCTCCCACACTAACCCAACCAGAGCCAGGGATCGAACCAAAACTGCCCTTGACCGGAATCAAACCTGTGCCCCTTTGGTCCATGGGCTGATACTCCAACCGCTGAGCCACACTGACCAGGGTGATTAATATTTTCTTACAGTGAGAAAGTTGGCTTCCAAAATCAGCATGTATACCCACCCAAGTGACAAGGGGAAAACAAACAAAAAAAAAAACTGGCCTTGCAGAGGACTTTGCAAATCCCATACCAAGAAGCAGTCTTGTAAGATCTCTGTCTGGGACTTGAACTTGACCAGGGTTCCCACTGAATGTTGAAAATTGGTGTTTGTGGCCACAGGCCAAAATCCTCATCTAGTAATTGCTTGGGAGCATGAGCTACCTGAATAGGGGTGGAGAAGGCCTGTTATTATGTTCCATGGAACAAGGAAATGCACTTTAAGATATTAGACTTGAAAAGTCAAAAGCATTGTGTTAACTGTATTAATTTAGCTACTTTATTTTCTGCAGAAATAGAACTCTATTTAAATTCAGCTCCCTGAAGAACTAGACTAGTTTTATAAGATACATTTCTCAAACCTAAATTCCCTCAGAGATCCAGTGATTCTAGTGAGAGGTTATGGACATAGACACTGTGAAAACAGGCCACAGCTGCCACAGAACCACCTGAAAGTGTGGCTTACTCACAGGGTACATAAAACTGCATGGGATTCTCATCTCTCCACCAGCTATGGCTGTTGTATTCCTTGTCAGTAGAGCAAAAACCAGTTTCACTCCACGGCCTCCTTTCCCGCAAATAGAGTGCCTACTATAAGCAGGACGTGATGTTAAGAGATACAGTGGTAAATGATAAAGACAATCCCTGGCCCCATGGGGCTTATGTTTGCAGATGGAGGTTTAGAAGCATTGTCATTCAGTTATCATTGCAATTAGTATTGTGTTATGAAAATACAAGGACTTATAATAAATATCATTGGGGCCCTGGCCAGTTTGCCTCAGTGGCAGAGCATCAGCCCAAAGAGTCGAGGATTTGATTCTGGGCATGGGCATGGGCATGTACCTTGGTTGTGGTTAAGTCCCTGGCCCTGGTTGGAGTCATGCAGAGGGCAACCAGTCAGTGTGTCTTTCTCACATCAATGTTTCTCTTTCTCTCTCTCTCTCTCTCTCTCTCTCTCTCTCTCTCTCTCCCCCCCCCCCTCTATCTGAAGATAAATGGGGGGAAAAATCCTCAGGTGATTTTAATCCTCAGGTGAGGATTAAAAAATAATAATAATATAGATAGATATGTCATTGGGGAGCTGTTTTTAATTAGGATCCTCTCTGAAGAAGTGACTTTTAGGTTGGGATCTGTTGGATGAGTAGGGGTCCATCAGGCAGAGACAGAAGAGGAATACTCCAGGTAGAGAAAGTAGCAGGTACAAAGGCCCTGAGACAGGAATGACCATGGCATTTAAGGACATAGCCGAAGGCCAGTGAGGAGGTGCTCTGGGTGTAACTGACAAGGTAGATAGAAGCTAGGTGGTCCCTGGACCATCTGAGATAGGTTAAGAACTTGGTGAGTGAAGGCTTTTGGGTAGGAGATTAATTAACATGATTAGATTTATATAGAATACTCGGTAAGTGTTCTCTGGGCAACCTCAACCTCATTCACAGCTTTAGTTCCCCTTTTTGCTGATGATTCCCAAATGTATAGCCCTGTGCCGGTCTCTTGTATGTCCAGCTGCTCAATGGGCAGTTTGTTTGTTTATAGCAAGAGGCAGGTGAGCTGACAGGTATGGAAGGGCCCTTCCAGCTCTAGAGTTATCTGCCTTTGGAGTTTAGGAAGGACAGATCACTCAGGAAGAGAAGGTGTTGAGTTAAGCCTTAATGGACGGTAGACTTTCCATGGGGTCTCGGCTCTCTGCACCAAACTGGATTACTTTCTTGGTAGTTTTTCCGGGGAACAGGCTGAGAGTACAGATCTCCTGTACCATTCCCTAGAACTCAAGATTCAGACACACTTGCAAAATCCTATATTTAGATTACACAAAAGTCAGTTAAACTTATTTGGGGTGGATGAAACTGTCTTGCTGTCAGATCACCATCATTGGACTAATGGTTACAAGCCCAGCTCCCTGTGACAGCCTATGAGTTATTCAGCATCCGGCCCCAGCCAGAACCTCTGACCTCCTCCCTTGCCCTGCCCCGCATGACAGTCATGCTCCAGCCACAAGGAACCACTTGTATTAGTCACCATCAACACACTGTTCTTTAACTCTTCTCTTTCACCTTGTGTACCCACTATCTGGAATTGCCCTTCCTAAACTAACAGAGCACTTACAACATTGCATAATAATTTTTTAATTCTTCTCACCAACCAACTAGACTGCTTATGTCGTATTGAACTCCAAATCTGTAGCACCTTGCGGAGGTTTCCAATAAACATTTATTTAATGAAACAATGCATTAGTGACTGACTGTATGTCCAGTGGGATGATCTATAAGCACCTCAAAGTCAACATAACCCACCCAAACATATGCCTCCCAAACTAACCTCAATAAGTCTCTTCTGTGTTCCTGCACTGCCCTTACACTCCTCTTCCCCTTCGACATATCGCCTGTTTCCTGGCCACTTCTATCAGACCATGTCTCTCATGAGGTCAGAGACCATATCTTTCATCTCTGTTTTGTAGCACCTGGCACAGTGCTTGGCACATAGATGTTCTATTGTTGTTTGTTGAATGAATAAAAAATGAAAGATCCAGCCAGCTTCCTCCCAAGAGAGCTTGAACTGCACTAAATGACTTTTGATTCCTCTTTTCTGTCTTTTCCATGGGCCTACAAATGTCTACCACAAATCACGAACTTAAGAGCTAAAGAAGGAGGTTCCAAAAAAATGCTCACTTCATCCCCTACAGTAGCATAAAGTTTTGTGACAGCATTAGATTAAACTTTGGGGACTTAAATTCTGGTTCCTGTTTTGCCATTTAGTAGCTATGTGGTCTTGAGCAACTCAGTCTCTCTGGTTCTGCTTCTCCTCTTTGGTAAAATTAGTTTGGGTGAAATTTAAAACCTCTTCCATGCTGAAATTCTGTGATTCACAGAGTGGTATTTCTGGAATTTAAAACATTAAAAGTGGTTAGACTCCGTGGGACCTCAAATAAAGGGTGAGTCTTGTCTCCGCTGTGACAGACAACGCCAGAAAGAGCAAAACACCTGAAGTTTACATAACACAATTTGCTACTGAAGTCTCTTTGGAAATGTCAGACTCGCCAAGGGGAGGGCCTCACAGTAATCCACAGAATTAGTAGGCATAGTGCCCCAAAGTCAAGGCCAATTTGTGGCCTCTTGATTCTCGGTCTGGTACCGTTTCCTCTATCCTATGTGAGGGGCAGTTTATGAAATTGGCACTTGGGGTTTGCTTTCAGATTTCCCTGGTCCATTTCTCACTACTCTCCTTTAATTCTGCATTACAGAAACAATAGGTATTTTTACATTCTAAATATGACATTATAATGGTTTATGTACTGTACTTCTTCACACTGTACAGGCCCCTCACAGCCCCACAGTCCTGCCCGTCTCTAGAGACGCATGCTGTCCCTTTGGGAGCTGAGAGGCTTCAGTCTAGGATGTCATGGGAAGGCCTGTCTGACTGGCCTGGGCAGCCAGGTCTTCTATCGTATCTATTTTTCATAATCATTAATAAGAGAGGCAGTTCCTTAATCAATAAATAATTATCTATTGAGCATCTCACATTAAAGCACTGCAGTATACTTCCTATCCCTAGAGACTTTATAGCAGATTTTTCTAGTGTTCTGTTACTAAATAGTAAAATCAATATAGAGTAAGTTCTTCTCTTAGTGGAAATAATAAAATCCATTTGAGTACAATAGAAGTAAACAGAATGGGGGGGAAAGTGGGGGGAAGTGGGGCACGTGTATCAGAATGCATCCCATCCATCAGGGTAAAGTATTATTTTGTAAAACTTTATTTCAGTAGCATGTATATTCATGATAGAGCATGATGTAAAAATGTATTTTTTGATATGGACTATAATTTTTTAAATGTTCGAAAAATACCGCCTTACGGTGTGTTCAGAAATACAAATATCACTGAGATATCAAATGGCAAGGAGGAGGTGAAGGAGAGTTGCATGGGTCTGTATGGGAAAGAATAATGACCTTCGGACAGAGACAACACAGCTGTGATGAGGAGAGGGGATCACTGCCAGGGAGGTCGGACTGGAGAAGGGAGGGTGGAGCTGAGCATTCAGGGGAGTGGTGGGTACGATTTAGTGAGGTGAGTTGGGGAGAGAAATTGTGTGAACTCAGGGTGAACAGAATTACTCTGATTCTTCTTGACTTGCAACCCTGCTACCAGAATGAGGCTAATCTCAGGGCCTTAGAATTCTGTGGGTTTGTTGTTGTATTTCTTTGTTTTTTCCTTTCCAATTTTTTCTTCTCTTTTACTGGATCTTCTGTTATTCGGATATTGGGTGTCCTGGCTTGATCCTCTGGTTTTCTTTTCTCTTCTGTTTTCTACTTTTTTACCTTTTTTATTTGAATCTGGAAGATTTCCTTCGACTTAATCATCCACCCTTTCTACTGAATTTTTAAATTTCTGTTGTATCCTTAATTTCCAAGAGCTCTTTGATCTCTGAACATTCTATTATAGCATTCTGGGAATGTGCTGGGTGGTTTTGGAAGCAATAGCTTCTCTTACCACTCTGACAATATTGATTACATGAAGTTTTTTCCTGCGGTCTCTACATCTGTAAGAAACCCCAAAGTCTATTTCTCATGACCCTTTATACTCAGGCTGTCTCTTCTACCCTGTGGCCTTAACCAGGCTCGTTATGGGAAGTTCTTTAGCAGCAGTGCCTCCTGTAACTGGATCATTTCTGCTTCTAGAGTCATTGCAGTTTGCTACTGTCTACCTCTTAAGCACTGTGTATTCTCTGTCTCCAGGAAGAAGTGTCCTATGAGGAAAGGACCTGTGAAGGCGGGAAGTTTGCCACAGTGGAGGTGACAGATAAGCCTGTGGATGAGGCCCTACGGGAAGCAATGCCCAAAGTCATGAAGTATGTGGGAGGCACCAATGACAAGGGTGAGTATCCCTGAAGAATGTAGCCCTGGTTTCAGAGGCGAGCCTTGCATGGTCTCACTTCATGAGTGCAAAACACAGGGAGGGGCCCCAGGGCACCTGTCACTGCCTGTTTCATTGACATGTGGACTCGCTGTGCTGCGTGGGCACGGAAGCTTCGGAGACCACACTGACTTCAGCCCAGCCTACCCCTCACTTTGTAGTATCCCTGCTTGATATTGCGAGTTCATGCTTTTCTCTCGGGTATGGAGATGTATACTCTGGTTTATTGTTATTTTTTAACCTTACAGTGCTTATCATGTCTTTGGATTGGTGAACTGGGTAAAGTGTGCCCATGGTAAGTCAAGCCACAAAGAGAGGACCAGCTCTGACTGGAGACCTCTACCCCCAGGCTAGAAATCTTGAGTCAGTCCCCTGGTAGCTCAGATTCTGCAGGGTACTGAGGGTCAGCGATTGATGCGTACGGCAAGTCCCTGGCTCTGTTCTGGCAAAGGAAGGGTCTGAGGGTTCGAAAGCTGGCCCACTCTTAAAGACTTGGCAGTTGGTGTGGGCTGCCTCCCTATTTTAAAATGTGAGGCCTAAAGTTCCCATGTACCTGTTAGCATTTAAACCGCGTTTAAATATGAATTTAATGCTTAAGCTCTCTAAGGTGGACTATACCTTGGAATCACTGCAAACCCAAAATGGGTCAGAAAGCAAGGTGAAAAAAGAAATAGATGTTTAATTTGAAGGATAGTCTCAAGCTGATAATTTAGCAGGTTAGAAACTAATCAGGCTTTCGACAGTAAGTAGACCCATAGGAGGTCAAGAAGAAACATTTTTCTTTTTAACGCTAGCATAACATATTTTATAAGAAAATATGTATTACAATTATAAAACTCATTAAAGAAAATCTTGAAAATAACAAAACAGCAATCTCATCTATCTTTTCTAGTACAATCATCGTCGTCTTTTGAATGTATTTCTTTAGGGCCCTTTAATAGGCTTTTTAAATATAATCATAGTGTTTGTGTTATTGTATATCCTGCTTCTGTTATTTATTTCATCATTATTTTCCATTGTTGGGAAATAGTCTTCTTCAGCATAATTATTACTAGCTACTTTATATTGCAGCACGTGCCTCTAATTTACTTAGACGTGGTCCTATTTTGAGTCTATTTATATGGCTCCCAGTTTCTCACAATTATAAATTCTGCTGCAATGAATATCCTCTTCCCTGTAGCCTTTTCTGTATTTTGGATATTTCCTTAAAATTGATATTTAGATAGAAAGTAATTAGATACTTATATATTTACTGCCTTGATATATATTACCAAATCATTTTTTTCCCAAAGAGTTGAGTCACTACTCTCCTACTTCCAATATACGCAAATTGAAAGTCGTGTGTGTGTGTGTGTGTGTGTGTGTGTGTGACTGTATATTTTTTTAATGCCTCAAGTGTTTATTATTAATTTTGTGACTAGGAGAGAGTGTTGTGGAAGGAGAATGAGGCCAGCCTATCTCGCCCTGTCCCTCATACCCACCTCACCGCATGGGTCTTCCTGTTGCAGGGACTGGGATGGGAATGACAGTTCCCATCTCCTTCGCCGTGTTCCCCAGTGACGATGGCTCACTGCAGAAGAAAATCAAAGTCTGGTTCCGGATTCCAAACCAGTTCCAGAGCAACCCGCCGGTTCCCAGCGATGACAGCATTAAGATTGAGGAGCGGGAAAGCATCACTGTCTACTCCAAGTAAAAAGTCCATTCTTTTTGTTTTGTTTTGTTTTGTTTGTTTCATGTTTTTTGTTTGTTTGTTTTTGTTAGTCCTCATCCAAGGATATGTTTCCATTGATTTTTAGAGCGTGTGGAAGGGAGGAAGCGGGGGGGAGAGAGAGACATCGATGTGAAAGAGACACATCAATTGGTTGCCTCCCATACACTCCCCAACCAAGGCTGGGGATTGAACCTGCAACCCAGGTACATGCCCTTGACAGGGAATCGAACCCGTGACCCTCCGGTGTGTGGGAGGACACTCTCACCACTGAGACACGCCAGCCAGGGCCAGGAGATCATTCTTTAGTCATTCAAGGTGATACTTGAATCATTTACAGTGAGCATTTGCATAAAATGTATATTCTTCCAGCTCTATTGAGATATAATTGACATTTAACATTGTATTACTTTAAGGTATACAACATGATCCTATGATAAACAATCACCACAATAAGTTTAGTTAATTTCCTTCACCAGACATAGTTATGAATTTTTTTTCTTGTGATGAGAACTTTTAAGGTGTACTTTCTTCGTAACTTTCAAATATACAATACAGTATGTTAACTGTAGTCGCCTCTCTGTACATTGCATCCCCGGAACTAATTTATCTTATAGCTGGAAATTTGTACCTTTTGACCCCCTTTACCCATTTCTCGCCCCCACCCCCACCTCTGGAAACTACCAATATGTTCTGTGTATCTATGAGTTCATTTTTTTAAATTCTACATATAAGTGAGATCAATATTTGCCTTTCTCTGTCTGACTTATTTCATTTAACATAGTGCCCTCAAAGTCTCTCTATGTTGTCATAAATGGCAAGATTTTCTTCTTTTTTGTGGCTGAATAGTATCACATCTTCTTTTTCCATTTATCTATAGATGGACACTTAGGTTGTTCCCAGGTCTTAACTATTATAAATCATGCTGAATTGAACCTAGGGATTCAGATATCTCAAGATAGTAATTTTATTTATTTGGGCTATATACTTAGAAATGGAACTGCTGGATCATGGAATTCTATTTTTAACTTTTTGAGGACTCTTCATACCGTTTTCCACAGTGGCTACACCAATTTATATTCCACCAACAGTGCATAGGATTCCCTTTTCTTCACATCCACAACAATGCTTGTTATTTCTTGTCTTTTTAATAATAGCCATTCTAACAGGTGTGAGGTGATATCTCATTGTGGCTTTGATTTGTATTTCCCTTATGATTAGTGATGTTGAGCACCTTTTCATGTACTTTTTGGCCCTTTGCATATCTTTTTTGGCAAAATGGCTATTCAGATACTGTGCCCATTTTTAAGCCAATTGTTGGGCTTTTTTGCTATTGAGTTATAGGAGTTTTTTATATATTTGGATATTAACTCCTTATCAGATTTGTAAATGTTACCCTTTATCAGACTTGCCCCTTATCAGACTTGCAAATATTTCCTCCCATTTGGTAGGTTGCCTTTTTATTTTGTTGATAGTTTCTTTTGCTGTGCAGAAACTATTTAGTCTGATGTAGTCCCACTTGTTTATTTTTGCTTTTGTTTCCTTTAATTTGGAGTGTCAAATACAAATAACCATGGTCACAACTGGTCTGGGCTCTATATTTTGTTTCATTGATCTATGTATCTATTTTTATGCCAATACCATATTGTTTTGATTACTGTAGCTTTGTAATAGCTTTTGAAAATAGGAAAGGTGTGATACCTTCAGCTTTGTTCTTCTTTTTCAAGATTTCTCTGGTTATTCAGGGTCTTTTATGGTTGATTTTTAAGATTTTAAGATTGTTTTTCTATATCTGTGTAAACATCAATTGGAATTTTGAAAGGGATTGAATTAATTTGTTGATCACTTGGGGTAGTGTGGACATTTTAACAATACTCTTACAATCTATGAGTATGGATTATCTTTCCATTTATTTGTTTCTTCTTCAATTTCTTTCATTAATGTCTTATATGTAGTTTTCAGTATATAGATCTTTCACCTCCTTAAATTTATTTCTAGGTTTTATTTTTTTTTTTTTGATGCAATTGTAAATGGGATTGTTTTCTAGTCTCACTTTCTAAATTTGTATTGTTGATTAATTAAGTAAGAAATACTGAGTCCTGACAGTTTCTCACTTCAATTTCTTCAGCCTACAGCACACAAACATCTGTAGTGTATCTGAACAAATGCCTGTATCAGTTAAGAAGTTGATTTGGATATAAAGAATATCCCTTCAGTTTAAGCTGAACACTTACATTAACCACAAAAGGGTTCTGGGAGACTCAGAACTATGTCAAGCTGTAGTTTGGGGTCATAAATACATAGGAAGCATAAAGGACTGGGGATACCTCACTCTTCCCTTAAATGCCAGAAGGGCAGGGAGCATGTGCCAGAGCTGGACTGCCACCCCCTAGTGGTTCATGATCTGTGGTCCTTTGAGCAGAGCACACATGCATCCTATTACCATTTGAGCCTGTTTTCAGGGTCTCCTTTGTGGCCATGTTCCCATGACTGTAGTGAGTAACAGATACAAACAGTTGCATGTCTTTATTCTTCGGGCCCCAAGCTCCCCTTAAAACCAAGTCTTTTCTAGATAATCAGTGACTCTCCATTTGTTAAAATCCTACTGTTTGATGGGCACCAAACCATGTATAGGCAGACACCAGGAGCTTCACCACTAGTGACCACAGGTGGGGGTTAGTTCTGCTCTAGAACAACCTCATGAAAAATAATTATATAATTAACCTTGCACTGGACAGTTTTTGTCCGCTCCCAGAGGGGCCTGCAAACTTAGTTATCAGACTGCCTTGCTCCAACTGTACACCTGAGGGCGCCGTTTTCTCTGAAGCCAATGCATGCTGAGCATGTGAGCTGGGATGAAGTGGGCGGTTAGGCCAGGTGACCCAGGGCCCCCAGAGGAGCGTATAGTACAGCTGGGCAGCAAGCAATGCGATCCCAACTCGGCTACTCCAGCCTTCATTTGGACTCTCCAGCCGTCAGCAAACGCTAGTTAAAAGAGTATCTTTCTCAGTGCGGGAATGAGGGTGGGGAAGTGAGGCACCTGTGGTACAGGATTAAGGAGGCCCTCACTCTCATAGTTGTCTAAGTACAGGATTGGCACTGAGAGTGAGTGCCTCCCCAAATCTTGCACACTAGGCGACTGGGCTGCCTTGCCCTCGTTCCTGCTCTCTTTTCCATTCTCTTTCCTGTGAATTGGGAGGCAGCCTGGTATAATATAATAAACAGTCACATTTTGGTATATTTTAGTTTGAATTCCAGGATGATGCTTGGGAAGTTTCTAAGACTTACTTTCCCCATTTGTTAAGTGCTGATAATATAATCTACCTCAAAGGATTATTGTTAGAGTATCTTTCAGTATTTACTAAGATACTATTTATAAATTACTTAATATTTATGATCTGTAGTAGGTTTCAGTTATTATTCTTTCCCTTTGCCCCTTCTTATTTCATAAGGAATGAGGTAGACATGATTAAATTCGTTCATATAAGACATCAGGCAGAGGGGACTCGTTTCTAATCATTTGTATCACCAGACCCAGGATAACCAGTTGGTACAATTTTTTTCATTTCTCTTTAGCTTTTTAGTATGGAAATTTTCCAACTTATAACAAGATGGTAGGAATAAGACAATGAAATCCTATGTACCCATCACTCACCTTCAAGGATAATTAACTCAAGGCCAATTTTGGACCATGTGCCTTCACAACCTTCACCCAGTCCTACCCTGGATTAGTTTTAGGTGAATGCCAGATATTTATATTACTTATTTCATAAATATTTCCATGCGACTACTGAAGACTTTGAAGTACATAATCATAATAACTTATGACTCCTAAAGTTTTAGCAGTAATTCATTAATGTTATAACAACATAAAACATCCAGTGTTCAGATTTCTTCCATTATCTCATCATTTGTTTTTACAATTTGTTTGAATCTGCATCCAAATAAGATCCATCCATTGTGATCGGTTGGTACATCCCCCACATTTTTATCAATGCATAGCTTTTCTCACCACCACACGATTTCCTTTTTTTCCTGCTGCCTATGGATCATTCATCCTATCGTTTCTTGCAGTCTGGGTTCTGCTGATTGCCTTTCTGCAGCTTTGTAACATGTTCCTCTGCCCCCTGTGTGGATTCGTTGGAACTAGAGGCATGATTAGATCCAGATCTGAGTTTTGTGTCAGGATATTTCATGGGTGGTGTTGTATTCCTCCATCAGGGGCTCAAAACGTCTGCTTACCCCTGTTTTTGTGATGTTAGTGATCATAGATCACCCTTACCTAGATGCCTTGATTCATTAGAGGACGTAAAAAGATAATGTCCTCTATTTTTCCCTCTTTATTTATTGGCTGGAATCCTTTGATAAAGAAAAACTCCCTCTTACCTACTATTTAGTTCCCCTGAGATAGAGACAGAGAAAAAAAGCAAAATGCCTTCTCTTTAGTGTGATACCTTCTCTTTGTTAATCCATTTTCAGAATAATGATTTCATTCCTTAACTGCCTACAAAAGGTGAGGTGGTATTGATCTCTGTCTTTTGAATATCAATATAAACATCCTAATTTAAACATAATTGGTACATTTCAGTTCTTTGTCATTATTATTCTTATTGATGTTCAACTGGTCCTGTCTTTGGCAGTGGAACCTTTTCAAGTTGGTTTCTTTTGACATGACTCTAGTTATGGTAGTTTCTTTGCTTTCTGGTATGTTTCAAGCACACCTTGACATTTCTTGTTCTACAGGAGGAATTAAATGTCTCTTTAAGAAACCCTCATTCCAGCTCTGGCTGGTTTGGCTCAGCAGTTAGAGCATCGGCCCATGGACCAGAGAGTCCCAGGTTCGGTTCCTGCTAAGGGCACATTCTTTAGTTGCAGTTTGTCCACGGCCCCGATGGTAAGAAAGGGTATCTATTAAAAGCTACTATTGAAGCCAGGCCTGTGGAAGTTTCCTATTAATTCTCTGAAATCTCAACAGATGAAAGTAACAAACATGGTGTGCAGCCTGGCTCAGTTCATTTTTTTTTAACCTAATCTATAGTCCAAAGTTAGCATACAATCATTTCTCAACTGGCCACTTGGTGTCACTGCACAGTCAAATGTGCGTTTAAGAGTACCTTAAGGTGCCTGCAGCTTAGTCAAATAGCCACTTTCTGATTGGGCTCAATTTCCCATGCTGGTGTGAGGAAAGGGGTTTGAGTAAGAGCCACCACCTATAACCCCTCAAGTTCTGCTCATGCTCGTTATTCTCAGTGCCTTCAAACATTTTATAAATGTTGTCTAGCTTTTTTTTTTTCATCTTTTTTAATTGAATTTATTAGAGGGACATTGGTTAATAAAAGTATGTATGTTTCAGGTATACAATTCTATGATACATCATCTGCATATTGTATTGTGTGTTCACCACCCCAAGTCAAGTCTCCTTCCATCACCATTTGTCTAGCTTTTTTATATAGCTATTTTCTATAGGAAGATTAGTCTAGTACAAGCTGTTTTATCATAGTAGAGTTTGGCCCTGGCTGGTTTAGCTCAGCAGTTAGAGCGTCGGTCCGCAGACCAGAGTTCAAAAGTCCTGCATCTAGGTTTTTGTTGTTATGAGCATTATCTGATCAATTTTAAATAATTATTTTCTTTCTCTCTCTTTCTTTTACATTTTTTTCTTCAGATTTTTATACCTCTTAGGAGTTGTGTAACCCAGACTAAATATGCAGGGCACTTTTTCAGAATTAACCCATATCATAAAATATATCTAGCAAAGTAAAAATATTTGGTTACCTATTCTAGTATAACAAATATTACAAATGTGTTATAGTTGAACCAAAAGCATGCATAATAAAATTAGAATTAAAAACAAAGAGTACCTTACAGCAGAGTGAATGAGGCAGTCGGAGGTGAAACCTTGTTTCAAAGGCACCATTAGAAGACAGCGTTAATTCTGAAGGAAAGCCGTGCACCCTGAGTTCAGCCTTCCTGTTCGGTGACCTTGTGAAGGATGTCCACAAAGGGGGTGTACGTTTATTCACGGTATTCATTACAGATGCTTTTAAAATGAATAGAAGGCTGTGGAAAAAATAACACTATCAGAATATCTTTCGTTTTCACGAGAGGCCATAGAATTATTCTTACACTTAGTGGCCACATCCCACCACAACCCCTCCCCCTGTTGTCAGTAAAGACCACTTAGGTCAGAGCTCAGCCTCCTCTACGCATTTCAGCACTGGGTTCTCCAGCGAGACCAACAGCAGCAGAGGTTTGATGGTTTTAGTGAAACTTTCATGGTTTCATGGTTTTAATGGAGTTCATTGTCGGGGCGACTTGTGCTCCACTCCCAGCTCTACTGCTTAATGGCTAGGACCTTCAGCTTATGATTGAGCCTCTCTGTGCCTCAGTTTCTCGCCTGTAGGAGGGGGTAAGAGTGCTTCACCCATAGGGCTGTTGTGAGGACAGAATATGGAATCTGTAAACACCTACACAATGCTAGGCGTGAGGTAAACATGCAGGCAATGTTCTCTACTTCTTGACTTCACCTCCCTGAGGATTAAAGTTTTCTTAGAAGTAACAACAAAAAGGTCAAGTTTCTGCAGATGCACTTGAATTCAAACCCCAACTCTAATCACTGAGTTTTATAACTTTGGGCTTTCTGAGCTTCAGTTTTGTCATCTATGAAATAGATGGCACTGTTGTGAGGGTCCAGGGTCTTGGTCCTTGCCTTCCCTGCATTTCTCCATTTTCCCTTGTTCCCTAAGGATCTTAGTCCCCACCCATAGCATCACTTGTCACATTTCATCAGTAATTCTCCAACCTGACCTCTGCGCAGCTCCCTTGAATGTCTTATCATTCATGAGACTCGTGAAGACTGAGACGAGGCCATGTACACATTCATTCAAAAAGTCACATATTCATTTTTCACTTGCTCTGTACCAGGAATTTTTTTAGGTCCCAAAAACATAGCAGGGACCAAGCAAAGGGACCGCTGCTTGAAGTAGAAGAAACACAAACACAAATGTCTCGAGATATTTCGGGACTGTGTTGTTTCAGAGAGAACTGGTGTCTGTGGACTGAAATTGTGGGGAAGCTTATTTCCACTCAAAAATAAAAACATTCTGGCATGAGGTGTCTATCAGTAAAGTGGATAGCTAATGAGGTAATGAAGTCCTTGCCCTGGAGGAGTTCAAGTACCATCTGGACAGACATACAACAATTACGCTATGTAATGTTGGAAGTAAGTGGGAAGTTTGGTTCAATTTGACATGTTTATTAAGTACCTCTGATATATAAGCCACCTCACCTCCAAGACTCCTGCCAATGGTAAGATTCTGTCTCTAAAACCTAATCACCTAAAATCCAGATTGATCACCATTCATTTCCTCCCAGCTGGTCCTAGAGGGGCTTTGGTCACCATTTCTGGGCAGTTGAGCCCAAGTCTACAGGGCTGGTGCTGCCTTTTCTCCCAAGCACCAGCCTCACATTTCCTGCTCACCAGGAGGTATTCCTACATAAACCTCCTCAGCTATCTTTCAGATCAGCATGTCCCGGATAGACCTCAACTTCCCTCCCCAAATCTGATCCCCTATGTTCTTCGTTTTACTGAAGGTCCCTTCCATCCTCCTGCCCACCTTGTTCAAATGTCATCTTGTGTCCTTCACCTTCCATATCTAATTATTGGACAAGCTCTGGTCACCTCCTAGCTGCCCCTTCCCTCCCATTGCTAAGCTATTGCCATGGCCTCCTGATTGTTTCTAGTTCTTCCACCTCTACCCCTTCTAAGGTGTCCTTTGAGCTTTGATCATGGCCAGCCCAAAGGCACTGGACCAATCACACTACTCCCCCCAGCTGCTCAGCTCTGGTTGTGACCTTCAGCCTGCCTCTGACCCAGGCACACATTAGGGCTGGGACCAAAGCCCAAGCTAGTCATAAAATTCTCCTTCCTCATGAGTAGGGAGATGGGTGAACTTTGGGTTGAGTCTCCAAATGCTTAACCAGGCAGGAAAGCCTAGTAAAAATGCCTTGATGTGGCATTTACTGCCCTCCACACATAGCCCCACTCCACTGTCCAGCTGATCTCAAAGCATCTCACCCCCACCTCCCAATGGCCCCCCAAACACACGTACAACATCCACTCTGTACCTCACATCACCCAGCTCCTCTCAAATGTTCTCCCGTCTCTTCTTATTGGAAGCTCCTGGAGGTCAGGAATTTTTGTCACATTGTTCACTGCATTAAGGAGAGCTATTCAATAAATACTTGCTTAATATCACGTCCCCCAAAATGCCTTCCCTTCAGATTCTAAGTCAGATCACTCCCTGTTGCCCACCCTCAGGTCAGTCTGTTTGTGCCTTCTACCTCCATTCTGGGGCCCTCTGCCCAGTATTATCTTTATGTCTTTCTGTCCCGCCCACTACAGTTAGACCTCTTGAGGGCAGCTCTGCAGTGTCTAGCTTGTGTTTCGTGCACAGTGATGCTCAGCAATGCTCAGCTCAGTAAGCTTGGTTCAGCCTGATAGAAGGAAATGCCTTGTGGAGTTCAGCCTCCTTTCTGTGGACATGAGATTGTATACTACTGGTCTTACACTTCTTTGGCTTGGCACAGAGCTACATGCATAGCAAACTCTCCACAAATCTGTTGACTTTTTTATTCTTAAAGTTTTAGACCAAGTTGGATGGTCAGGCTCACAGTCATTTCATTTCTGTTTCTTCCTCACTGCCCACCTGCACCAGACACTCCCTGAAAGATAACGTTAGAATTTTTTGCATTCTTGAACCTGCATCATCTCCTCCTCCCACTCCACCTCCAACTCTTCCAGCCCTTTTTAGTCAGTGCCTTGTGTGTTTCTGGAATCCAAGACGTGTGCTAGCTCCTTGGTTCCCATGGTAACCAAAAATCGTTGTCAGGAATGCTGAGTTCTGATATTGGGTGAGATAAAATAGTGCCCCCAGGAGAGCTTGTTTGAAGATGGAGACTTAGAGACTTGTTAACAGGCTTACAAAAACAATGTATAGACTTCTTGTTTATTTCCTTTGAGGAGCTCAAGGCACTTTCCGAGCATGCCTTAGCTCCTACTCGCACATGCTCGTGAATTCGGAGAGCTGGAGAGCTGTGGGCACTGCATTGTCACCTCGGTGTGCACTTGGAAGCTGAGGCGGGGTTGAAGGAGGCAGCTTGTCCCCAAATACAAGTGAGGCAGCCAGGGCTGGGCTTCCTGCATTTATCAGGGTTATGTGCCTGGTAGGGTTTGGTCTTTTGGCTTGTTCATGCAGTGCTGTGCCTTGATTCGATTGGCAGGAAGGAGAACACATGTACCTGTTTCATAGCCCACCCCACTTTGCTTAATTCAATAGAAGGCCCCCAGGATGAAGCAATAGGGAAATCTTTATGCTCATTGCCAGCATCTCAGTCCACCAGGGGATAAGTATAAACAGTTGTGTGTTTTTTCCCAATAATGACCTTAGAAATCCGCGAATGACGACATTCTCTGAATCACTCTCTGCCCGACTCCTTGTACTTCTCAGACAGCTCCTTCCCAGGCCTTGGCCAAGTCCTCCTCCTTCCCACCTCTTGGACTGGGCGTCCCTCAGCAGTGTGCGACCCTGCGCTTGCTCACCGCTCAGGCCCCGCCTTCCTCCGCAGCACAGTTCTAACCAGCACCAGGACTCGCATGCTTCTCTCTTCTCTTACACTCAGCTTTCCCATTCGACAGCGGTGACTCCAGTCCTTCCCCAAGTCTAAGGAGATTTTCACAGTGCCTCCCACGTGCTTAGGTACACAATTACTGTTGCATGCATGTATTTCACAGAGCCAACCTCGTATCAGCACACCCCAAACTAAATTATTAACCCTCCCCCACCCTCCTTCGAAAGTGACTTTTCAGCTGAGAACCCCTAATCTGGCTCACGGCATCAGTCCATCCGAGACTTAACTGGAAGCCCTGGGCAATCCCGACTCCCCTCTTTCCGCCCCTCCACGTCTAGGCACCTCTCCAAGTGGCTTTGGTCCAGGCCTTCGTGGTCTCACGCTGGGCTGCGCCTGGCCTCCAGTGCCTCCATCCCTTCTGTCCCTCCCCTGCCACCGGAGGCATCTCTCCAAAACACAATCCGATCACATCAGTCTCTTACTTTAACAGCCCTCGTAAGTCTACCTTTGCATCTAGGGCCAGGTTCAAAGCCCTGAGCATGGCATTCAGGACCCTTCACAGCGTGTTCCTGTCGATCCCCTTTTCCTGTTTGAACTCCCACTGCTGTCCCCTGAGTATGTGCGTTAGGTGTTTATTGAATGAGTACATGAACGTGGAGGCAAACGGACTTCAGTGCCACCATCTTCGGGTCTATCAGCCTGAAGACAGTAACACTGTTGTTTAGCCCAGAATTGTGCATTTGGCCCAAGAGTCTGATATGTGTCAGGCACTGTTAGGTGCTCAGGATATACCAGTGGGCAAAAGTGACAAAGATCCTCGCCTGCATACAGCCTGGGGACTCAGACCATGAGCAATGAACACGATAAGTAAAGAAAAAGTAGATCCAAGGAAGAAAAAAGGGGAAGGAGAGAGGGTTTATAAGATTAAACGGGGTTTTGAGATTAGACCTAATGGAGAAGGTGAGATTGCTCTTGATCATGACGCTCTCTTCCTGTGTTCATATTCTACTTGAGATTAGCATCAGTCCCCCACCTCCGGAGTCAGGGAGCTGAATAGCTGTTCTGAATGAATCGGGAAGTAACAATAATAGCTACAGTTTCTTGTGAGCTTACTAGGTGACAGGCACTGGGCTGAGCCGTTTGCAGTTGTTTCTCCTTTAAGCTTTACAGCAGCCTTCTGAGACTGATGCTATCATCCCTCGTTAACAGAGGAAGGACCTGAAGATTAGAGAAAGTAAAGCCTCTGCCCAGAGCTAGAAAGGGTTGAGCACACAGCTAACCATGTTGCTTCCAGCTGATGAATGAAGATAATTGAGAACCACTCCTTTGGATGTTTCCAAAACCCAGTAGCTTAAAGAGCCAACCCCATTTTCACAGGAGAAAATTTAGTACCACGGCATGCGAGGGGCCACAGAGGACACTCGACACCTGTTCCCACACCCAGCATCTGATTATTTTCAGACAGGTGGTTCTCTAGCTGTAGACATTCTTTGAAAATAATTCCAGTGTCTGGCAGGCTTTTATTGCCAGGAAAACACTTCCTCAATGTCCATCCTCTGTCTACCACTCCAGTTTCCTCTTATTTAAGCCTCAATGAAGCCAGAGCTCAACTTTATCTGTCTCATAATTTTTCTTCGATGTATTTGAAGAGCCAAGCCTCCTCTATTCCAAATTGGTCTCAGCTCTCTCCATGTTCTGCGGCTGTTGTCTAGACATAATAACCAATCTCTTAAACATGAGATCCTGGGTGTTTTCTCATCAATAGCCCTGTAATCAAGGTGCTGAATGCTTGCGGAGCATGACTAACCACTTATAAAAGAGCAAAGCGTGAATCAGAGAACCCCACCAAAAATAATGCATTTGGCCTAATCTTGGCCTGCTGCAGCTTCAGACTTCTGAGTCATAAAGCTCATTAGAAACGGGAATGTATTTGACTCTAATAAAGATTTTAGGGCAACTCAGATTTAGAGTGGTATATTTAGGGCAGGCCACAGGATAAATGTTGGCGCGTAGGCAGATGACGTAAGGAGAGAATAACCACCTTGAAAGGAGCGGCTTGATTGCTTTCCTGTTCCCACCTCTGCCATCGGGAAAAAGGCCCGATTTGGGAAAAGTCTCTTTATTTACTAGAAAAAGAAGGCTTTCATGACTTGAGCCCAGGAGGGGATTTATTAGAAGTAATTTCTTTATTGGGGGCAAGTTAAAGCTCGCCTGGGGGCCCTGCCTTTGGTAGCTCTGATTTTTAGCAAAGTTGCTACTTCTCACGGCTGTGATGTGGTCACTCATTAGAAGACAGCTGTGCTGGGGGAGACACGGAACCTGCAGCTGCACCCTGACTCCCCTTTACCCTTCCTCCTTCCCCAGCTGGGGACAGAGGTTAAGAAGAGGAAGGAGCCTCTGGGCAGTAGAGGGAGCTAGAGGAAAGGGTGAAGGTGTGCCTTGGGGAAGGTCAGCCGCCCTGTCTGGGAAATTTCAGAGAAGACAGGGAAGCTCGCAGTTATATGGAACTACTGAGGTTCAGGCTCTGCAGCAGAGTGTTCACACCCATATTGCACTCAACGTTCACAACACCCTGGAGGAGAAAGAAAACCTGTCGCAGTTTTACAAATGATCTGAGGAGGGTCTGAGGCTCAGAGAGGTCAGATCTGCCCATCCAGGTGGTGGCAGATTCACCATCTCACCACAAGAACGTGATTGTTGTAATAAAGATCCCCCTGTCTCAGAGACATGCCCGTCCTTAACCAGCCCCTTGCTCTCGTATCTTCAGGCAGTTTGGGGGTTATGCCAAGGAAGCTGACTACGTCGCCCACGCCGCCCAGCTGCGCACGGCCTTGGAGGGCACAGCCACCTACCGGAGTGACATCTACTTCTGCACTGGGTACGACCCGCCCATGAAGCCCTATGGACGTCGCAATGAGGTCTGGCTGGTGAAGACCTGAGTTGTTCGCCGAGCCCGCACTCCCAGGATGTGGGCTGTCACCCCTGACTTGGGCGGGCAGGAGGGGCTTCTGACTGCAACTTCAGCTCAACCAACTTTCCTTCAAAGCCAGTTACTGCCAGTTTTCTGAAACATGCACGTTCAATACCAGGGCTCTTTTTCTCGTGGTGGGAAATACAGCCAAGTCAGGCCGCACCCCTTCCCTTGATTTAGAAGATTGGTTGTAGACCAGGAAAACCCCAGCAGCATTTTCCCAGCCACCTGCGTCCCAATAAACTGATGTTTTAAAATGATCGAATCTGTATTTTTGTAATTGAGAGGGGAAATGTAATCTGTGTGCAATCTTTCATCTGTGATTCTTCTAAGACTTTGTCTAAAAATAAAGTGAAAATAAAGTTCTTTGACTTAAACAGCTGAGGCAAGTCTAAGTCTAAGTATTTCAAGATTCCTCCATCCTTGGTTGCCAGAGGGGAGGGGTTGGAGGGCTGGGTGAAAAAGGAAAGGATTAAGTACAAATTGGTAGTTACAAAATAGTCCCGGGGATGTAAAGTACAGCATAGGGATTGCAGTCAGTGATGCTGTAATAACTATGTATGGTGCGGTGGGTCCTGGAGGGATTGGGAAGAACACTTTGTAAAGCGTATGGTTGTCTGACCACTATGCTGTATACCTGAAACCGATACGAGACAATATTGAGAGCAAACCGTAACCAAAAACAAAAGAAAGAAGATTCTACCATCTTATAGACAATAGAGTTATGATTCTTACTGATGGTGTTTACTGTGGCAGGAATCCTATCTTTAGAGTTTCAAAGTGCTTCAGAATATAAACCCAGTGATCCTGGGGGAGGATGGGCACCGCATGCTTGACCGTCTCTAAGTCATAGATATTTACCTTGTCTGTGCAGTGTGGTTCAAGGATCATTGGTGGGGATCTATTTGCAACTGTGGTCCACGAAGGGTTCCAGGAGCCAACAAGTAGCTGGAAGAGAAAAATGATTGTACTCTGACACACACCCTAGAGGCAGGAATGCATTCAAGGTAATGAGACGAGATTGAAAGAGCTGAGGCCCAGTGACATTAGACACATCGATGTTTCTCTCTGTCTGATGATGAGTGCAAAAATGTCCTCAGGTGAGGATAAAAAAAAAAAGAATAAGCTTTAATCCTCACCACAAAGGGGTGTCATTGGACATACAGTGGGGTTTGCTGAAGAGAGGGATAGCAGCTGCCATCTTTCCTGGTGCTGTTCAGAACAGTGGCCTCTTCTGAGGGACGGGCACCCCTGATCTGAAGGTCAGTGGGAAAGCACACCAGCCTTGAGCCTTGACCACCTGCAGCTCCATGCTGGGTGCCTCACATCCCCCCATGCAGTCCACATACATGGCCTGTGAGGGAGGGGCTGTCATGAACCCCACACACAGGTGAGGGCGCCGAGGGTCCCACAGACTCACACACTGGACTCAGGGTTCAAAGTGCAGCCACAGGGGCCTTAGGTCATGTTAAGAGGTTTGAATTTTATCCTAAGAAAAATGACAAGTAAGACAGTGGCTTTGAGCAGGGACATGATAGCATCATGTTTGAGAGGGAAAATTCTGTCTTCAGTGTGGAAAATGGATTGGAAGTGGATGCAACAAGAGGCAGGGCGACCAATCACAAGATTCTGAGTAAAAGGTGATGGAGGCCTCAGTCGGGATCATGGGGTGGGGGCGGGGAGAAGTGGACAGTTTGGAGGGAGACACGGGATCAACAGGCCTCAGTGAGCAGCAGGTGAGTGAGACAAGGGAGAAGGGTCGAGCACAGTGCTCAGGACGGGGCTGCCACTCAGTCGGGAGCACAGGCCAGAAGCAGGTTGACTGGGGAACAATGTCCACAGAGGCTTTTTAGGCCTGTGGGTCATCCGATGAGGCTGTCTCGTGGGCAGTTAGAATGATGCCTGTTGCTGAAAAGAGAAACCTAACCTGAAGATGCATGGGTGATTCATCAATATACAGATCGAGGGGGTGAATTATGCACTCTGCCAGAAGACTGGGGAACAAAGGGAGAAGAGAGCCTAGGTAAGAAACTGGAGGGACCCCAATATTTAGAGGAGAACTTTGGAAAAGAGCCTGACAAAGATCTAAAAGAAACGACCAGTGGCATAGAAGGAAAATCAGAAAATAAAAAATAAATTTAAAAAAATAAGAGGTGACCAGTGAGTGTTAAACTCCATCATACAGTGCCACGAGGCAAGCCCTAAACGATCTGAGTCTGTCTCCGCTAGCACCATCCTCGGACACGTGGCCATCTTTCTCCCCTGGCCTCCTAACCAGTCTCCACACGGCCACGCTCACCTCGCTTTGCTCCATCTTCCAACCTCCAGCCAGAGGGATCTTTGCTTAAAAACTCACTTTGTCCGTAGACCAAAAGGCAAACTCCAGTTTACGACCTGCCAGGCTTTGTGGGATGTGGCTCCTGATTCTCTAATTCCTGCCTTTCAAATCTCTCCCTTACTATCCTTTGCCACCGCGGGCTTGTCCTTCCTGGACCGCACGAAGCTCTTTTTGCCCAAGGGCCTTTGCACTAGCTGTTAAGTCTGCCTGAAACCCTTTTACCTCCTTTTCAAATGGCTGGGTCTTCTCATCCTACAGGTCCTAGCTTAACCGCCCTCCCTCCTCAAAGAGACCTTCCGTGACCCCTTGATCTAAAAAAGTGGGGCCCCCCTAGAGTTCTCTATCATAGCATTATCTCTTTTATTTCCTTCATAACACAAATCACCATTTGTAATGTTTGGACTTCTTCATTTCTTTTTTTTTTTTTTTATCCTCACCCGAGGACACTTTTTTATTTTTTGTTCAGATAGAATGGGAGGGAGAGAGAGAGAAACATCGATGTGAAAGGGACACATCGAGTGGCTGCCACCCACATGACTAACCAGAGCTGGGGACAGACTGCAACGGAGGTACGTGCCCTTAGCGGGAACCAAACCCGGGTCTCTCTGGACTGCAGGCCGACGCTCTAACCGCTGAGCCAAACCGGCCAGGGCCTTCATTTCTGTTTATTTCTGCCCCACACTTGATATGTTGGATAAGAAGGAGCCCCATACCTGCTTTGTTCTTCATTATATCCCCAGCACCTAGCTCAGGGTCATATGTCATTTAGAAATGATTTAAGTTGTAACAGAAAATTGAACCAACAGTAGCTTAAACTAATAAAGTTTTATTTTCTTGCATAGCAAGAAACCTAGATAAGCTTAGTGGCTCCATGGCTCCATCTCTGCACTTGCCTTGCTCTTCCCCTCATGGCTACAAGCTGGCTGGTGTGGCTCCTGCCACCGCATCGATGTTCAAGGAAGGAAAAGGGGAGAGGAGGGAAAGCTGTATCAGTTGCATCTGTCTCATTTTTTTTTTTTTTATCCTCACCTGAGGACATTTTTCCATTTTATTGTTCAGACAGAGTGGAAGGAGAGAAAGAGAGAGAGAGAAACATCGATGTGAAAGGGACACGCCGAGTGGTTGCCACCTGCACGACCAACCAGGGCCGGGGACAAACTGCAACCGAGGTACGTGCCCTTAGCGGGAACCGAACCCGAGGCTCTCGGGACCGCAGGCCGACGCTCTAACCGCTGAGCCAGACTGGCCAGGGCAGCATCTGTCTCATTTTTTGAAGAAACAATAGATTTCCCGGAAATTCCCCCCAGAAGATTCCCACTGTTTTCTAACGGGCCAGAACTGGCACTGAGGACCACCCAGGCCTGCCGTGGAGATGGGAAAGTGTGTGTGTTTGGCGTTGCATCCTCTCTCGTGGGGAGCAGCAAAGGCGAACGATATTCAGAATGGCTTTAGGGCAGTTCAGCTACAGTGATTTCAGCAATGGGTAGGTATGTGCACCTAGAGTCAAGAGTGGGAAGGTGAGAAGTGGGGGGCAGCTGGAGAGATTGACTGAGGCCAGACTGCACAGGATCTTAAAAGTTTTAATTCTACATTCTCACTTCTGAGCCAATGCAAATGGATCTGTAGCACCATGCAAGCTCTCTTCCCAGTGTCTGCTGCTTACCCTATCTGCCCTCTCTGCCCTCTACGCCATTCTCAAGGTGAAGAAGGATGCGGCTGTCAGTCCCCTCCCCCACAGTGAGGACACAGGGTGACTGAATGGTGTGGGTGTAGTGATTAAGAAAAAAGAGGGACACCAGTGAAGGAAATACGTTGTTCATCCTCATTAGATTCAATAATGGAAAACAGAGCCACAGAGACCAAGGTTGCTCATTGCCAATCTATTGACTAGTAAAGCAACCTCTCTGTCTTCATCAACCCACTCTTTTGTCAATATCTTTCTCAAAATAGAGAGGAAACCTGATCTTCTGGTCCCATCTCAGCCTCCTCTCCCTAGGGTCTGGAATAGAGCATATGGCCAATTTTTTAAGATGATAGTATGATTACCTTGGAAAACAATGAACAGTAGAGTACAGAAATGAACAAACATCCAAGCTATGCTCTGGGTTTGGTGCTCAGGATGACAGCCTCTCTGGAACTGCTTATATAAGAATGCCCGCCTCTGCCCAAGCATCTTCCCGAGGTTAAGACCCTTGCACTTTGTGAGCAACACCCAGTAAACTTGGTCCCGCATGTAGCACCACACACTACGGCACTGTCCTGCTCACGTGAGTGTAGGTGTAGAAACACAATGGGACACGGCTGAGCTCAGGGAGTTGGTCACCACTTGTTTAAGGAAGACCTCCCTCATTTACATTTGGCTTCTCCACTCTTGAGTAATGTCACTTTGATCTTTGAGCACAGTAATTAAAGCTTCACAGCATGCCACACTGATGGGTATTTATTTGGTTGAATGCCATGGATTTTGCCTTTGAATCTATATTCTTGACTAGCTCTAGTTTTGGGGGTTTTTTTCTTTAGAAATATTTTGTTTCTATAGCAACCATCATTCTAGGAATCTGGGGACAGACCTAAGCAAAATCCAGAAATGCAGAATCAAGAATCAATTCATGTCAGGTAGAAATGTCAGAGCAGACAGAAGATGTGGCCGGAATTGGTGTGGGCTGTGTAGAACTATCTCATAATCAGACTTCAGGTAGAAGTTGAATTAAGTGTTCCCTGGCAATGAATTAATTAGACTTTCATCAAAAAGTCATTTTATGAGCAGGCTCAGACCCCAGCTTCTTCTCATATCATGCCTCATCCTTTCTGCTGGGTTCCTTATCTTCTAGTAGCACAAGAGTGAATGCAGGGTCCCCTGAGGCATGCTCACCTGCCCCCTCCAAGCCTTTGCTCTCACTCCCCACCCCTGAATCCCCTAAGTGCCTGCCTGTCCACCCTCTACCCATCCCTCCAGTCCCAGCCCCAGAGCCTTTGAATTCTTCCCAATCCCTCCAGTTACACCCCTCTTCCTCTGTGATTTATGCTTCCCATATCACCCCCATAGGATAAGGGTACATAGATACTCCATCTTCTTAGTGTAGATTAGTTTTAAAACTTATTAATTAAAAAAAAATAAGAGATATTGATAGCTCTCATGTATTGAGCATTCACCCTGTCCAGGCACCATGCAAACTCGTCCCGTGAACTGCCTTGTCTATTTGACACAACAACCCTGTGAGGTAGCCACAGGCACTGTCCTCCTACCCCGTTTACAGATGAACCGAGGCAGCAGCTCAGCACCCTCATGAACATGCTCCAAGCTACACAGATGGCCCGTGGCAAAGCCAGCATCTGAACTCAGGCAATCTAACTCCAGGACCAAATAGTACTAAACACTCAGTGCAGTGACTGGTTTCCTTGTCTGGCAAGAAAGGAAATGAGGCAGAATGTCTCTTCAAGTGAGTGCACTGGGTGGATGCTCCCTCCTCCCTGTATAATTTATTTTCAGGCTCAGCCCAAGTGGCAGTAATATAATCCCTATATCCCTAGGGTATAGGCCGCTGCCTGGAATTTAGATGAACAAACTTCATGAACTTAAAACTCGAGAAATCGCATGAGTAACCAACAGCCACCTACCTACTTGTCACCTGTTAGATCAGCAGCCCTGTCTCTCTTTTCTCTTTCACTCTATAGATGAAAATTCAGCCAAAAGAAGTTCTTACGCTGCCAATACAAGCACAGAACCATTTTGACCTCCTTAAATAAAGGAATGTTTATGCAAACCTTTTAAATATATAACGTATGTTTTCAATCATCTCTGCTCTCGTTTCAGAGCCTTTTTTATGGGCTCCCAGCTTTGGGTGTTTGCCATGTGAGCAGAGTGTGTTTTATGAGTCGGGGACCCTGAGCTAGAAGCAGAGCCCCGCGGAGGCTCCGCCATCCTAGGAATCAAAAGGAGCCTTCAGCACTTGGATGTCTCTTCAAGGGCTTCAGGAAGGAAACGGAGTTAAGGAAGTCGATTCCATGCCTAGAAGAGGCTGGATGACCATTAGAGGACACCATCCTCGACTCCTTCCCTCTCTCAGGTTGATCTGCCTGCCATCCAATGTTAATCTTGTCACCTGTGCTGGGGGCCAGCTCTCCCACTTCCTTAAGGATTTCATTCTATTTCACTCTGTCCTTGTGATTTCAATCTCTCCCTCTTCCCTGTCTCTTTCCTCTCCACACATAATCATGCTCACACTCTCCAACGAAAACAAAAAAAAAGACTTCCCTCAATCTATTCTTGCTTTCTACACACCACCTCAGTTTTCTCATTTCCTTCACCAACTGCCTTAAAAATGCCACACGAAGTGTTTGTTTTCTTTCCTTTCATTCCACTCCCTCTGTCCATCCACATTTACTTACTCTGAAATGGATGTTCACTTGCAAAATCCAGCAGGCACCTGAGAACTGAGGATGGAGAGGGCTAGCCTGCCTACCAGCCTGCCACCCAGCTTGGCACGCGGCTAGGATGCCCACAGGAACCTGGCACATAAAGAAAAGTAGAAAAGGCAGACATAAGTCTATAAGCTCCAGGCGCATATATCCTCTGACCCACATGACACAGTCACACAAGTAATTCACAGATATCCGAGTCGGCATGTCCCGTCTGAACTCTTGCTTCAGACTCTACCATCCCCCAAAATCTTTTCCTCATCTCTAAATAGCACCACATTCACCTGCTTATTTAAGTCAAAACACTGGAAATCATCTAAAGGAGAGACAAAGAATTTCCTTGTTTGCTGGATGGTCCTCCCTGGTGCAGTTATCATCTGAGATCAGAATGTTTCTCTTGCCCACAAGGCCATTCCCTCCTCCCTGGACAGCCCTCATATTAACTTGATCAACTGGCCAGTTTTGGGGGTTTTTTTTTGTCTTCTACCAACTCCATTACTCTGAAATTAAATACAGACTCTGATCGCTTCTCTTCCTTAAAATGGAGAGTGGGTGGGGCAGAGTGGGAGCCTCCTGGAGCACAAACCCACAGTGCCTCCAGCCATGCCTGGCCAAGAGGGAGAGTTGGGAAGACCACATGCATTTTGCTGACCCTCTTTTTCTGGTAACCCTGGTAATCCTGCTGTCAGCCTGTGCTTGTGTGTGGTGTTTGGCTCCACTCTCTGGCTTAACACATTCTTGATTCCTTCTCATCCTTCATTCATTTCACAAATATTTATGGAGCCCTCACTCTCTGCCAGGCATTGTTCTGAGCATGAGACCTACCAGTGAACAAAACTGACAAAGACTCTGTCCTTGTAGAAAACAGATATAAATAGTGAACAATAGACATCATAAGTTGTTTATTGCATTGTAATAAGTGCTGTGGCAGAATTAAACAGTAGAGCAGGATAAACTAGAGAGTGTGGGGTAGAGAGGGTGGTGTGAAGTTCTTACTAGTACGGTCAGGGAAGGCCTCCTTGAGAACGAAGATTTGGGAGTAGTGAGCAAGTCAGCCACGTGGGTGTCGGGGGAAGTGCAGTCTAGGCAGAGGAAGCAGCCAGTGCAAAGGCCCCATGATAAGGTGAGCCTGTGTGGTTGAGGGACAGGCCAGAGAGGCTGAAACAGGTGAGCAACAAATGAGATCAGAGAGGCAATGATCAGAGAAGGGCCAGATCATTCACGTCCTTCAAGGCCACTTTAAAGACTTTGGCTTTTCCTCTGTATAAAATGGAGAAGCCCATTGCAGGATTTTAAGCAGAGAAGTAACATAATCAAACTGTTTTTCAAAGGATCCCTCTGGCTGCTGTATTGGTTATGCACTGTAAGAGATGCAGGGTTGGGATTAGATTGGGGAACAAGAGTGGGAGTTGATGGCTAGTTAGGAGGAGTCTACTGCAGCAATGCAGACAAGAGATGACAGTTATGTGGACGGGCGGTGACACTGAAGTGGTGAGAAGCGATCAGAGTCTGTTTATATATTTTTTCAAGGTAGAGCCAACAGGATTTCCTGTTAGACTATATTCTGGGTGAACGAAAAAGTCAAGATGACTCCAGGGATTTTTATTTGAGCAACTAGAAGGATGGATTTGCTATGAACTGAGATGTGGACAGCTGCTCATGGAGCGGGTTTGGAGGTACCATGAACCCAGTTTTCCTTCATTATTCATCTCCCAACCACCAGCAAGACAGAGAGTCCACTTCCAACATGTCTTGGATCTTACTGGTCCTCTCCATCACCCCCACCCAATCCAAAAAAACTCATAGCCACCATCACATCATCTCGCCAGACTCTTGAGCTGGCTTCCTGATTCCTACCCTGATCATCTCTAGTCCATTCTCAAATGCTTTGTGTTCCTTAGTAGATTAGACAGTCTGTGGCCAGACTGATCTTTTTATAATTGATCTTCCCTGCTTAATGCCCTTTGGTTTAAGGGCATTAAACCAAATGTGGTTTCCTGTTCCATCAGACTCCATTCCCTTTGCCCTCTGACGCCCACTTCCTACTCCACTCTCATCCTCTGCTACTCCCCTCCTTGCTGCAGACGATGACTTCCTTCAATTTCTCAAACACACGGTGCTCATTGGCACGTCGAAGCTCCTGTGCATTGTGACTTCTCTTCCTGAAATGCTCTTCCTCCTGCTCTTCTTGAGTGTAGCTGTCTCTCCTGTCTTCCAGGTCTCTGCTTAAACAATGCCTTCTCAGAGAGGCCTTCCTAACCATTATTTCATTTTCCTCTGTCACAGCATCTTTTTTAGTACTTTCCACAATCACAGTGTGTGTGTGTGGTGTGTAAATTTTCACTTGCTGTTATATTATATTGGCTGCTCCACCACCAAACTGTAAGTTCACTGATGGTGAAAACATGTCTGTTTTGCTCACCACCATTTCATCACATTTGGCACACACACAAAATAGTTATAGGTGCTCCACGATCATGGGTTGGATAAGTTAATAAATAAAGTATACTAAATGCAATGCAACATAAAGCTTATGTACAATAAACAAAATTACTCTCAGAATAACATCCATACTCGTTAAAATACAAGGCCCTGGGACACTCTTCCTCCTCTCCCACCACAGCCACCTTTCTGTCCCTCGCGGTGGCCGTTGTGCAGGCTCTTCCCTCTGTCTGGAGCAGTCTTACCCCTCACTTTGCAAAGCTGAACTCAGCTTAGACGTCTCTCCCTCTGCAAGGTCTTCTCTGACCCCCTCTCTGGTGCACCCACAGACTATGTACTGAATACCTATTGATGTTTTCATTACCTGCTTTGCCTCCACCACCCCAGTGTGTACGCAACTCTGATGCTACAGACAATGGGCCCCACGTCTCGTTAGCAGTGATGTCTCAAGCACAAGCACAGTAGCTGGCCCAAAACAGATGCTCAAAAAAATCATTAGAAGACTAAAAGAGCAAATAAATGAATTAATGCTGATAATATAGTTCTAGAAAGAGGCTCTCGAAGTAAATAGATGGGCTACTTTAGTGTGCAGACCTAACATTTGAAGTGAACATAACAGTTCACATGTTGATAATTAAGATATAAAAGTCCTTTAAAATTAGTGGTATCCTAGGCTAAACAGTCTTATTTAACCTGTGGTATGATTATACAATCACCTTGATTTTAAAACTCTGTAACTCAGCCCAGATCAAATTATTACAAAAATCAGTGATGTCTTTCCTTTATGTAAGTATACCCACAGGGGAGAGAAAACACTTCAATTCAGAGAGACCAAGAGACTTCTCTAAGATCAATGAGCTACTTCACAGCTAATACTAAAACCCACATCGGAGTCCAGGCCAGTGCTCATTTGATGAGATTAGTATTTTTTCAACTTTTTCCCCTAACATACAGTCAGAAATACATTTTACATTTCAACCCAGTACAAGCATGCACACACACACACACACACTAACATGTTTTATGAAAGAATACTTCCCATTATTACCAATGGTAAAACAAAAGCATAGCAGAATGAACATTGCATATTATTCTATTATTAGTTATAGAGTCTAAAAAATCCAAAATAAGCAATGTAGAAACAGAGTTTTTAGACATGATTTTTATTTAGTGAGCACATGTGCTTGCTTGTCTGTGAAGTCATTCCAGAATGCCTGAGAACAGAGTGACAGGCACGTCTGGGGCAATGCTGAACCGTGTTCTTTCTCTTTTTAAATCCAAAGTTGAAAACCCTGAAATTCACCAAAATAGGTGACTGTGATTGGTAATACAGCAATTCTACTTAGCACTAGAAATTTTTTCTTTAATCTTAATCCAAATAATAAACATAATGGTTTGTTGGTTTTTTTGGTGTGTTTTGTTTTGTTTTGTTTTGTTTTGTTTTGTTTTGTTTTGTTTTGTTTTGTTTTGTTTTGTTTTGTTGAGAGAGAGTGAGAGGAAGGAAGAGAGAGAGAGAAACATCAATCAGTTGCCTCCAGTACGCGCCCTGACCAGGGATCGAATCTGCAACCTGGGTATGTGCCCAGATCAGAAATTGAAGCCACCGTCTTTTGGTGTACAGGACAATGCTCCAACTGAGCCAGGACCGTAATGTCTTCATTCTTCAGTATAAGCATTAAATGCATTTAGTCTCGTCTTTGCTCACCAGGTTTAATTCAATTTTTGATTCAGTTTTGAAATGCAAATAGATCTTTTATTCAAATGTCTTTCTTTCAAACTTTAGGTTTTCCTCTAAAAAGTAATCATTTTGACTTTGAGAGAAAAGTGAGGTAGAACAATATCTCTCATTTTATTTTATTCTAACTGACTTTATAATGTTCCCTTCTATGTGTTATAATAATATTGGGAACATACAGCAGCAAAAAATATATATATATTATATTCATAAGAAAACATTAAAAACTTTGGAATGAACATCCTTTCTGTGGAATGCTGGTGCCTCTGGGATGTGCGCCTTTGGCTTTGACTAGGCTTTTTAGAACTTAGTAGAAATCGATACTAACTTGCGAAACACTCAGCAATGCAAATACAGTAATGCTTACATAGAACCATGTACATCAGTTCTGTTCAGTGAAGGTTCAGTTGAACAACTGGAACAAGAGGATCCGTTTCCCAGAGGGCTTTTGATATTGCCATACCTGGTGCTTTGACGAGGATGGCTGGAAGGCTGGGCTCGGCTGGTGCTGTTGACCAGAGCACCTACGTGTGGTCTCTAAGTGGCTTGGGATTCTCAGAGCACGGCACCTGTTTCTCAGGAGAAAGCCTCTGGAGACCAAGTATTCCAAGGGACCTAAGCAGAAGGAAGCTGTGAGGCTTGTTTTGACCTCGTCTTAGAACTCATGCATCATTACTTCCACCACGTTTTAGGGGTTACAAGAGTCCCTGAGGCCAGCCGAGAGTCAAGTGGAGGGGAATTCGACCTCATCTCTTGATGGGAGGAATGTCAGGTAATCACAGCCATTTTTTTAAAACTGCTGCGTCTTTTGGAATCCTTGAGTATGTTTGACATGTTAAAATACATCACAGTTTTCTCCCAAAATTGTAGTTAATAATGCCCCA